TCAGCGGTGGCTGACAAGTGAATACCTTTAGTGCCATTTGTGTCTTAAATGTGCCATCCTTCATTACATCCTTTCTGTACTATTTAAAGTAATTCGCAATGTAACGAAGCACTGCTTTTTGTTGCCAAAAGTTATAAAAAATAATAATATGAAATCAAAAGCTTCAAGTCATTTTTCAATATATTTTTTAACATTTTTAAGAAAAGAAATTTACATTCTATTAATTAATTCATAGTTGAATTATAATGAGAAATAAATTATAATAAAATAATAAGAAGAAGTTATTTAAAATGTGCAAAAAATAATTTTAATGATAGAAAACTTAGTTCCTAAGTCAATTTCCTTAAAAATGACGTGATTGATTTTAATTTTTAATTAAATTTTGATTTTACAAGTACAAATAATATTGTAGAACTTGCACGGATGACACTTAGTATTAATGTAAGTCTAGGATAGATGACTATATTTCTTTCAAATCACAAGAAATGCTTATGTATATTTCAAACTCTTATACACGTACTCAACATATTTAGAGTAAAAATAATGTAATATTGAGAAGAAAACATGAAAAAATTGTTCAATATTAAACTAACGTGTGGCCATCTCTCTTTTATGCCAAGGTGAGATGACACTATAAAGAAAAATGAAGTTAAAATATGACAAATAACACATTTTATACAGTTAAGGAAGAAAAACTTATAAAATAAGCTGTAAGGAATGATTATTTCTTGAAAAATAAGTAGAAGGATTCTGATGAACAAGATCTAATGTGCATCATTCACTTTCGAAAAACATTACTAAATTATTGATTCAAAAATTGAACATGTCTTATCGTACACATGTCATCGTTTTTAGTTATGGTGTTGTATTTTTCTTAACAGTCAACATACCGCTATTCATAAAATTCTGAGTGTGTAGAATCGGATAATACCTGTATGGTTCCATCGAGTAGCTTATAAGGTTTTATCGGATAATATGTTAGGTCTTTAGATTCAGAATGTAATATGCAGGGTTCATACGACCCTTAAAAATTTTAAAAAGTGGTTTCAATATTATAATAAAAAAGCTAAGGATTTATTTTTATTAGCTTTTATTTTAGTTTACGAAAAGACACCAAACGAAAACCATAGACGAATGCAAAGATTTCGTAACTAATTTACTACAAAACAACTTATTTTTTTTCTTTTGCTAACTATTTTTTATTTTTTAAGGATCCTTAATACGCATGAATGAAAAGTGTCCAATTTTCCTTAATTTTATGTCACCATCTCTCTTGATGATGAGATAGTCATCGAATTTATAGCATAACTGCACAATAATATCCCTCTGCTTTTTGCTCAGTAATAAAAATAAGACTATATATATGCTTTAAAGATAAAGCTAGTTCAAAAAAAAAAATATAACCTTCACTTTGGAAAACTAGTGCATACTTAATTGGCTTAAATACTTAAAATATTTGAGGTCTAAATAAAATAAACATTAAAATTTGGCATACTTTTTGTTGTCATGAAAATCAATGATCTGTCTAAATTGATAATATTGAAAACTGCAAAATATTATCAGAGACTGGACATCTCGCTTCTCTATGGTCATTTAACTTAGACTAATTTTCTGTGCTAAAGTGGAATTTAGGAGTAGGTTTTTTAGATATTCAGTGATGAACGATATTTGTTTTTAAAAAAGCTCATTACGTAATAGCAATGAGAAATAAATACAAATACTATAGTTTGAAAAAGGCGCAAGCTTGAAAAAAATGGACAGAAAATTTTAAAAAAAACGTTAAAATATTAGTACCTCCTCAACGTAAGAAATCGACAATTTAAAATCAGTATACAGTATACCTCCCCAAAATTTACGCATACGTGAGTTAATTTTCATTACTTAAAGATTATTATCGATTTTTTCTATTTTAAATTTATTTTTATTTTGCGTTTTGAATTTATAAACTCAAATATTTATTCGTAAGTTAAATTTAAATATTAAAGTTATCAAAATAAATTGAAATCTTTGTTTTATGGAGGAATTTAAATTAATAAATTATCATTGACGCTCAATTTTTTTTATCTGTGCTAACATAATCAACTCTATTTCAGCAACAAAATTTTAAAGACAACAATTTATGCATATTTTACCTACGGTAGTATGGAGCGATATTCAATTAGTTCTAATAAGTATAAATATCTTTTAGCTTTATGTAATATTTAAGTCTAATGACAAAAGTAAAAATTATTTCGATTGCATTAATACTATACGTATTAATACTATACGTATTAATACTATACGTAGGATATAAAGTAATAAAAAATTTATTTGGGATTATTTGTAACTTTTTATGTTGTTTAGCTTTGTATTGTGAAAGTTTTTAAGTTAGAAAGTTATTCAATATAAAGCATTAATGAAGCCTATTATTTATGAAATCTAGTTACTAATTTTTGTCTCACAAAGCTTAAACTCTTTTTTGATTCTTTTGAAGCCATTTTCACAAGATGAAAGTCTAGTAAATCAGAAACAAAATGCATACACGAACATTTCCTAAGTTAATTTATGATTAAATCAATAATTTTGAAAATAGTGTTAATTTATTCGAAAGTGACAAGAAATTATGAATTAAATTTTACGAGAAATAATTAGTTCAAAATAGTTTAATTGAAACTAATATTTTTTTTATTTACTTTAAAAAGCATCACTATTTCTTTTTTCAAGAAAATAATGTATTGATAGCAATAATATCTTCGTATTGTTTTGACGAAAACATCAATGAAATCATATAAGATTTATTATGAAATTCGTTTTTGTGTCGCTGTTTTTAAATGTTTATTTCTTTCAATGCCAGAAAATTAAAGAACATATATATACGTACCTTTCTCTGAATTAGTGGCTCAAGCTCTTTATCCACACAAAATTCTTACTATTTTTTCCACACAATAAAAACGATTAAGTTCTGCTATATATATTATCTTTATTTAATTTCTAATTATTTTTTCACACTTTTAGACTTATTTGTTACTTGATTTATAAATATTTTAATCCTTGACTACTAAACCAATTCCAAATAGCTCTGTGCCTGTAGCATTTTACACTAGCTAATCTTTTTCAGATGCATTAATAATAATTCTTTTTTGAAATAAAGCAGTATTTAATTCTGAAAACTTTTTCTTCGGTCTTAATCTTAAATTTAGAACGAAAATAAGTGATCTGAACTATTTAATAGTACATTATGTCGCAATGCATGTTAGATTTAAAAAAAAAAAACTTACGGGTAATAATAAGAATAATATTTATTATTATTATTACTGCATAAAATAATGGTAGTATTATATCTAAACACTTTGAATATCGACATTCTTTTTGTTGAGAGTAATATAGCCGCTAGTATCAAATAAGGAAAAAATTGGCATAAAGATTAATACATTCTGTACAATTTTGAATTAAATATATAATAATATTTATTAGCTTTACAAAAATGATTCAAGTTTTAAAGCAACAAAATGTTGGATATATATAGTAAAATTAAGTGAAGATGTTCAAATAAAAGAATGAATGAATGAGAAGTTAGTAAGAGAGAAAGAGAGAGTAAGTGAGGGCGCTAGTGTCTAGATGCGTAGCCCCACGTGCGCCAATAAGAGGAGTGTAACATAATCAGGATACGGTTGTCATGACAACGAGCCCCATAAGAAGGGAGAGCTGAGGCTGCTCCACTCACAATCACAGCTGCTACATCCAGAGCAAGCATCTCTCACTGCATCTTCTCCCCTGTTTTGCTTGAATTTTTATTTTACACATCTTTCTTTTAAAATGCATGATTTGCTTCACATGCCTCACACATATTTTCTTTATTAAATTGCTCAATGTTTCTTTCATCTTTTTTTTTTCTTTAAATATTTTAATGTTTCCATATTAGTTAAATTTATAACTTACTTCGTAAGTAACAAATAATAATAAATTGAGAGAACACGTATTGAAATGATATCGTAAGAAAAGTCCATAAATAAAAATATATCTTTTCTTTTTTTAACTCATTTTAAATTTGCATGACTGTTATTTTTGTTATTTTTTACTATCATACATCTTCCAAGAAAACATCTTATTCATAAATAAATATCAATATCACAGTTTGTATTATACTGACTCAAATACAAAACTTATCATTTTTATTCTGTTATATTTCGAATGCATTCATTTTTAAAATGCGTTTTATTCAGTTTTGTATTTGTTTATAAAACAACATAAGACTCGCTGAGCATGTTTAATATGATTTTTTTTTGTTATATTTTACCAAAAGTATTTGTTTTTGCTTTGAACCTCTTTGTAATCTTCTCTACGCACAGAACAGTTACGTCATTCGATGGTAAATATGAAACTTTTTAAGTTATAAACAAAATTTATTCTAAAATACCATATTTTCTTTAAAATTTCTTATTGTTATCTCATAAATATTGTTTCGAGTAATTTTAACAATCCATTTAAAAATATATACAAATATGCTTTCATTTCACGAAATAATCCTAGCAATCTAAATTTGCAAATGATATCTTGTGACTGCACTAACCAAAAGTTATGATTTGTTCACATTCATACAAGCAACAAGTCCTCTCCATCAAGACGGCAACTAAACGTGCATTCATTACATAGGTAAAACTTTTATTTTGTAAAATTATTGAATATATTAACAAAAATACGAAAATACGTTTCTTCTTTCTAAAAATAAATAAATGAATTATTTATTTTTATTAAATAAAATTAAAAAAAATAAAGAAAAGAAACAAAAGAAACTTTTTTGAAAAAATCCGCGCATACCCTGTTAGAGAAATTCAAATATATTATTTAATTTTTAATTTTAAAAGTGATTTGAAAGAGCCAAACGATAACGGGAATAATAAAAAAGAGTTCCTCTTCTACCAGTACTTCCGCCATATTGTCCTCATACTGCAGACTGTCAGCAAGTAGAGCAGCCTTCGCGCATGCGCACATGCTTTTTGCCGCAGAATAGTAGTTGGAGCACATTTCCAACTTATTCTCTACACAGCTAGCAACAAGCATCCTTTTCATCCCTTTCATCTGGAACCTCTCTCTCGTAAATATTTTATCAATATTTATTTCAACTTTCTTTAGGCTTAATTACATGGTGAAATTATACCGATACTATTTAATGGAACAGTTGAAAAAATAATTAAAATAATAATTATTATTTCAACTATTAGTTAATTTAGGGATCTTTATTTATGCTAAATGATTGCATTGTATTAAAATTACCTGTAGGTGAAAGAGAGAATGTAAAAGCTAAAATTCATCCCATATTCTATAAATTATTTTTTTCATCGCTTAACCGTTATGAAATTCTTTTTGTTAAGTAAAGACCCAAATAATTATTTTACTATTTGATAATTTATTTACTGATCCGAGGATAGTTGAAACTGTTCACAATATTTTAACATATTGCGATATAATAAAGAAACAGTTGGGGAGACCATAACCGCTTAAGATGAATGCAAATCAAATAAATATAAGAATAAATTGGTAAGTGCTAACTATTAAGGTTTTGTTGTAAAAAATTTTTGCAAAAATGCACTAGGCTTGAAATTTATTCCATATCAAAACGTAGAGATCTTTATTACGTTTCGATTAAAAATTATCTAATAAATAATGTTTTTCTTTACATTGAATTAGGTAATCTTAAATATTTTCCTTAATTATAAAAATTTCAACTTTATTATTTGATAAATAAAAATAAATAAATTAGCTTTAAAAATTGTATGTACTCTATTTGCATCGTTTATTTACAGAAATAAATGCACAGAAAGACACTGAATGAAACATACGAAATTAATCACGTTTGTACTAATTTTAAGTCTTCATAAATAAAGATTAAATTGAAGCAAAAATTTTACTCTATACCCACTCTTACATCTAGCTACATTATGAAAACAGCTGCATCGTGATGACAATGCTTCTTTTGTGCTTTTATAGAAAAGAATGTAGGGGAACATTTGATACCAACTGGGGAGAAGTGTTGGTTACAAACAAATCCTTTAAACTTATAAAATATTATATTCTTTCGTAATAAAGTAAATGATACTTAACAATTTATTTATTTCCACCTTTCAACCAATTTGGTTTAAGAAACGTAATATTTATTCCATCAAATAATTAATAAAGCTTTTAATTATATGTAATTTTCTAAATATCTACCTTGAATTTACTTTATTCAATTCAATTTTTCGCAAATTTTGTTTGAAGGAGTATTTATACCGTACTAATTATTAATAAAATTTAAAACAATGCATTTTAATTTAATTATATTGGCTCATATTCACTTTATTTCTTTTAGTTTGACTCTTTGCTACTTTCGTTTATATATTAATTCAAATATTTTTTAATAAAGTTTTGCATTATGTATTATACTCTAAATATGTTGGCCTAAATTGAATTTATTTTTACTCAGGTAAGTGACTTCAGTATTCAGAGCCACTGTCTTCATTGTTTGAAGGTAAGTAAATTTAATTTTGCATGGAGAATGATATTACACATTAATAACTCATTTAAATGTAGTTGAAATCTGTTACACCTTCCAAATCCCAAGACTCTTTTGAAATAAAATGTGCATGAAGCTTGTTTTGGCAGCAAAATAAAATGCCTTTTTTCTTTTTTAAGATTATTATTTCATTTTTTTAAAAAATTAGATTTTTTCGAGTGTTAATGGAAAAAAACGTTATTGAAAATATATTTGAATATTTCAATGAAAGAACCTATCATTTAAAGATTATTTCCTTTCCTTTGAGAGAAAGCATATTCTTTAGAAATTATTTCATAATCCTAATGAAAGAACAATTAAAAGAACATATTTTTTCGTTATCTAAGAAATAACCATATCATTTATATATTAAATCATTATATCTTGAAAAAAAGCGCATCATTTCAACATATCATGTTATTTCTGTCTATCTTAAAGCAAAAATATATAAGTTAACAGACACAGAAAAATCTGTCCAATAAGGAACCGTAATATTAGTACTTTGAATCATAATATGGTACAATCCTCATACGCTCTAAAACTGGAACATATTTTCCTCCAAATCGAGCCATACTATCATGATTTAAGAAATATAATGCTGTTGTTGCAACTTATTAAGTTTCAAGCATATTTAATTAATATAATGGATCAACATGTTCAAAATTTTATAACAGCTTGTCTTAAAGAAATAATATCTCATTTGAATCAATGTAAAATAACGAATATTTATTTTTAAAAAATTTTGCTTTTACTCTTGCAAACTTTTCTCTCTGTGTTGTTTTACATTTTATACTGTGATACTAATTATCTTAAAAATAAGTCGATAGCTCTTATGCTTTGCTTACATATTGATTAATTCATAAGTAATTCTTGCGATTCCTTTTCTTCATAAAAACTTAAAGAGAATTTCTGGAAATGAATTCTTTTGCAACCGTAGATAATTAAAAATGTTTCTCAATATTTCGGTAATAAATGAAACATGACTTATGATAAGAAAATTTTCTATTGTTGTTGCTCAGATATATAGAAATTTTTAAACTTAAAAAAGATTTTATAATTAAGTGACTCTTCGAAAAAATTTTAAAAAATAATTAAACAATTCTGATATCATTTGTTTTTATGAGACATTCATCAAAAATAAATTTTTTTTCTCTTAGAACATCGAGGCTAGTACAGTACTTTATGTACAAACTTGGTTATAAATCTGTGTATTAATATGTGTATATAATATATTTCTTGAATGAAACTTTGTATTTACTAAATAGTTTTTCCAATTGCGACATGATATTTCCCAGCAATTTCAAATACTTTTCAATGGTAGATCTCTATTCCGAGAGTTTGCAAAATAACTGCAGAAAAATATCTCAACAGGAAGTAAAAAAATGTAATTGGTGTAAATTGAAATATATCCAGTTCAAAATAGTAATATAAAAATAAATTAACTATTAAGCAAATATAAAATATAATAAAATATAAAACGCAATCGATGGTTTATTTTAATTTGAAATACGGGATTCCACTGCGATTTGAATGAGAAAACAATGAGAAAGAACAAAAAACAAAAATTTGAAATTGCTATAATTTGAAATATATCAAATATTTAATTTCAAAATAATAAATAAAAATAAATGAATTAATAAGAAAATATAGTATGTAATCTAACAAAAAGCAATCGATTGTTTATTTTAATTTCAAATACGTTATTCCACAAAAAACAAAAATTCAAATTTATAAATTGAAATACGTGGCATATTCAATTTCACAATTATAAAATTGAAATAAATTAATTAATAAGCAAGTATAGCATATAATCTAACATAAAAGGCAAAAAAATTGCTAAATTTAATTTCAAATACGTTATCCCACTGCGTTTTGAACGAGAGAAAAATAACTCAGATATAAAAATAGAATTAATATAAGTTGAATATTATGTGGTATATTCAGTTTCAAAATAATAAAATGAAAATAATTGATTAAAAATTAAGCATAGCATATAAACTCACATAAAAGGCAATAAAATGTTTGATTTAATTTCAAGTACGTAATTACGCTGCAATATGGGCGAGAAAAATATCATTGGTAGGTACACTGAGAAAAAAAGTCAGCCAGAACCACTAGAATATGGTAAAATGACTTTAAGGAAACAGCGAAAAACGCAGCAACTTTTACCAAAATGCATTGGTAATGATTTTGATAAAATTAACAATAAAAATTGTTTTCATAATATGTGTTAAAATTTGGCTTTTTATCATGATACCTTAGGGCATGGCATAAAAACTCTTTATTCGCTTGAATTTATTTTTCAGTCTTGCATTTTTACTAAATATGTGGTAATAAGAACTGTAACTTTGAAAACCAAAATCTCCGGAGAACTATTACCATATGAGTGGAAATCGTTACCATATGAATGGTTTCAATACCGAATATTTTGGTTTTATTCCCAGAATTATGGGTTTTTTTTTTGTTGCCAGAAAGGTCTTTACGATACAATATGATAAATTTACCAGAATTTTTTCTCCTTGTATTTTTATTAATTCATTGGAGTTCTGGTCTGCATTGAAACATTGCAACTGTAGAAAAAGTTTTATTTATTAAAATTCCGCCGAAAAATGTAGCTGATATTGCATACCAAATTTATTCATTTACTTTTAAACAAAAAACAACATTTGATGCTAAAACTGAAAAACATAATTAGTCAAAAGGTTTTTTGGAACACAAACAAATGCATGTGAATGGCATAGTTATTGGTTAATAGTTAATATTCCGTAATAATTTGATAAAAAAATTCAAATACTAATTTCAAAAGAAATTGAATATTTTATTTTTATTATTTTTTTATATCAATATAAGTATGGCCAAAAAATTAACGTATGGTAAATTTGGCTTTATGGAAACTCCGAAAAGCAAAGTAATTTTTACCAAAGAGCATTGGTAATGATTTTGATAAAATTAACCATAAACTATTGTGCATGTGTTAAAATTTAGTAAATGTTGTAAAATTTGGTATTTTATCATGATACCTTAGTTCTTGGCATAAAAATTCTTTATTCGGTTAAATTTGCATTTCAGCTTTGCATTTTTACTAAATATGTGGTAATAAGAACTGTAACATTGAAAACAAAAATCTCCGGAAAACTACTACCATATGAATGGTTTCAATGCCGAATATTTTGGTTTTATTACTAAAATTACGTTGTTGTTGTTGTTTTTTTTTACCAGAAATGTCTTTACGATACAATATGAAAAATTTACCAGGATTTTTATTTAATTATCGGAGTTCTGATCTGCATTGAAACATTGCAAATATAGAAAGAGGTTTATTTATTAAAGTTCCGCCGAAAAATGTAGCAGATATTTTACGCCAATTTTATTCATTTACTTTTAAAAGCAAAAAAGCAGTGGATGTGAAAACTGAAAAATGTGGTCAGTAAAAAGGTTTTTTTAGAACACAAACAAATGTATGAGTAAAACATAGTTATTAGTTAATATTACGTAATAATTTGATAAAAAAAATCCAGATAATTTTAAAAGAAATTTAATATTTTATTTTTATTATTTTATATATCTATATAAAAAACATTTTGAAACCAATAAAAATGAATCTTAAAATAAAAAAAGAAACATATTTTAAAATTAATAGGAATTTCTTCTCCAAAAAGATTGAGAATTTTTATAATTATTTTTTTCTATTTTATATACAAAAATTTCTATTCCTTATTTTGGTAATCTACAAGACATTCTTAGTATTTTTACCTTCTTAAAAGAAAACTTAAAATTAATAGAACTTCATTCAGTGATTACAATATCATAGGTTTGCTGATAGTGACTATGTTCTTAAAATTTAGATAATTAATAGAAGTTCATAAGTCATTTAAATACTTACCTCTTTTTGAGAAGAAAAAGAACCAAGCATTAAAGATATAAATTCAATAAATGCCAAAGTATCCACATAAAAAAAAAGTCATTGTACGATTTAAGTGAAGAACGTTAAGATAAGAACGATTAATTTATCTCACTTTTACCAACGGTCACTTTTGGCAGTATATTCACTAATTATACTTTCTAACATAAATAATGCAACCAAAATTTAAAAAAAAACCTTTGAATAATTTAAACCACAAAAAAGGCATCTAAAAATTCAGACAGAGGACTGAGAACGTGTATTGATTATGGTTATAACAAGTAGTTTCCCAAGAATGCCGTAGACCTCTTGATTAGAGAAACTATTCATATTCGGATGTCGAGAAAAATTTAAATAATAAATATACGAAAAATATATGATTGAAAAAATTGCAGAAAACATCATGCAATACCTTTCTCTGATAGAGCATCCACTTATCATATTAGTAATTAATGCTATGAAAATTTGATGAAAACTATTCACCATTTTCTAGTAACTTAAACATTTTATTAATACAACAGAAATTGTGTGTGTTGATTGTTTTAGATATTAAAAAAAATTTAATCGTATATTACAAGGGATGGGAATAAATTAGGCCATCTAGTGCTCAAAGGCAGTTAAAAAATTATCTATTTAAAAATAAATACATTAATTATAAAATGACATGTTCAATAAGCATCTTATGCGTGGAAAAAAATACCAAGTACCAGATTTTACTACTTGTTCTAAGCTAGGCTTACTTAATTTACAAAGAAAAAAGGATCCATTATTCGATCTTTTTTTACCGCTTTCGTCATTTTGGGTAAAAGCGTTAATTTATGACCATTTTGTAAGACTTAGTAAAGGTTTTCATTCTATAGAATTTAAAGTCTTAAGAAGTTAGAGAAGGGGAAAGATAAAGATGGGATTTGAAAATATTTAAAAAATTAAATTATGTCAAAAATATTTCTTACTGAGGTTTAAAGCAATTGAAGTAACACCGTGGGAGCCTTGAGAGTCCACGGGAACAATTTTATAATGATTTATACTTAAACCCAATGTTTATTTCAACTATTCACGATTGACAGATTGCATATTCCAATCAGATAAAGCAATTATTGAAATAGCATTTTCTGAAAGAGAGTGCATTTCTCATGACAAAAAAGAAAAAAAAATTATCGAATCTAAGTTCTTGAAAATATTTTAGATAAGTTAATGCGAATAGTAGCCACAATGGCTTAGTGGTCATGGCACTGAACTGTCATTGTGAAAAACTGGGGTTCGATCCGCAATGGTTGCCCACACAGCTTCACGTCGGCGGGTACCAGCATCTCTGGGGAGTAAAGACGGTCTGTACGCAATGCTGGTCACATTGCCACAATCATCCCGTTGGTCTAGATATTGTGAGACGTTAACCTCCATGATCCCTGGTTCACAACGGGCTGTTACATCAATACTTTTCTTTAATGAGAATTTTGTATGTAAAAATATAATATAAGTAAAGAAAAAGTATCATTTGCACTCACAACAGTTATTAAATTTAATTTATGAGAAAGGAAATGGATTCAGTCTAGTTAGGAGCTGATGCAACATATAATTATCTTAATAACAGAAAGTTATCATTCTCAATCATTTTGCTTAATAAAAAAATAATGATCAATGATGAAAAGTTACCAAAATATGATAAAAATTTACCGTGTTTCCGGCTCTATGGGAGCTCAAAAATCTTAAAAAAATTTTAACGAAATGTTTCGGTATTGATTTCGGTAATATTATCAAAAAATATGATTTTTATGACGTGTGATAAAATTTGGTAAATGTGGTAAAATTAGGTAATTTTATCATGATATCTTAGAGCATGGCATTAAAATCCTTTATTCGGTTAAATTTAATTTACAGTTTTGTATTTTTTACAAAATGTGGGATAATAAGAACTATTTTGAAAACAAGAGTTTCCTGTAAACCATTACCATGTGAATGAACAAATTACCAAATGAGCGGTTTATTTTGTTTTCATAAGCCAGAATTTATTTTTTTTTGCTAGAAAATTCTTTGAAACGCAGAGCTGTAATTTTTCCAGATTTTTTTTTTAATGTGCACGGAAATGACTGAAAATTAAGACCCCTATTGTTTTTTGTTGTTGTTGTTCTATTCCTTCTTAAAAATTTAGTATAAAATTAAACTACTCTGATAGTTTTGAAACATTAAGTTTAATTACACGCAACTGCAATAAAATTAAAATTTTTATTTGTATATTTAACTATTATTAAATAAAGATAAATGATCAACGAGTTATCAAATGAGCTATTTATATAAATTAAGATAAACATAAGAATTTGGTTAAAAAAGAATCTCTATTAGGAAATGTGATTTGCAATAACGTAAGAGAATAATATATATTTGTTTATTTCTAGACGATATCGAAATTTTAATAATGCAATAGATCACCAGAAAATTACGATATTCAAATTCGAATAATTTTCTTTATTTTAAATAGAACACGATTTGATTAACCTAAAAAAAATTATCATTGCTCATGATAATATTGTATTCAATAATAATTGTTATCAATAACTTGATCACTTCAATTCTTCATACTGATCGATTACCACGATTATTATACTATCACATATTCGATATTTATCATAAGAGAAGTTTTTCACGATCATCACAAGAATTCATTTTAAAATATCATCATCAAGATTTTTGAAAATATCGACTATTCACGATATTTCATATATGTTTGTAGTGGATATGATAAATTTGCTGTTTTTTAGAAAAATTAAAGATAAGGGAAATAAGTAACATCCAAGGAAATCCACTTTTTCATTAAGAAGAAATCACCTTACTTGTAACCCTGATGGTTAATCATAAGCGAAAACTAATAACAATAGCAAACAACAAACAAGTCTAATAAGTAGAAAATATATATTAACTCAAAATCATAATCACGTGACTTCAAAAAAATATCATTGATTTAAATAATTAAATTAAAAGATAAACTAATTATTAGTACAATTTATCATGCTCATAATAGCAAAAAATTAAATTCTTTTTAAGCAAAAATAATTCGATTTCTTTTAAAGTATACACCACTTCAACGGGAAATAGGAATATTTTATGCTGGTCTGCATAATGCTGGTAGATCTATTATTTTCTGATTTAAAAAGGAATGAAAGTTAACAAATATATGTAAATGAGTTTTGTTATTAATATATTACTAAGTTACATGATTCCTTATGTAGTATTTCAATAATCTTTAGCTGATTTACTTGCTGCATAAAAAGCATAAAACACATGAAGCAATCCATCGTTTCATATTTAATAATTGTAACAAGAGACACAATTATTATTTTACTAAATATACGGATTTGCACTTATATGCGTTCAAATTGTGATTCTTAAAATGATCAAACTAAAGAATGAAATACTTCATTTTCTTTCCTTTTTTTTTAACAAAAAAGGATTGTTCAATGGCTGATTCCTAGCCAAAACTTCATTTAAAAAAGTAAAAGAATATAAATTTAGGAAAAAATATCCATTTCTTTCAAATGTGTTCATGATCCTTTGGTCAACATAGACTCCAGCAATCTCAGTCTGCATTGAAACTGATTTCAAAGGCCACATTTATCTGAATTATGATATAAAATTGTATGAACTCTAATGCCAATGAGAAAACCCAATATATTTCTTTTATATATAATATATA